AAATATGGAAATTTAAACTATCAGGCCAACAATTTAATGATTATGAAGGGACTAGCTTCCTTGATAGGCTGATGACTGGATTGTCTCCCTTGATTCAAATGACATATGCAGGAATGAAGGGAGATCCACCCGAGGAATTAAAAGCCCTGTTATGGAAGCCTGTTTGGCACAAAAGGAAGGCCAGAGATAGACTTAAAAAATGGTTTTTTTTAATGTGACCTCTAATGGAAGAGCTTTAAATCTTACTTAATGGGATAAGGAGATTTTTTAAAAGATATTAATTGATTTAACATTTAGGATTTATATCTATAAGGGAAATAAATTAGTTACTAGAATAATAGTTTTGAATTATAACATAGAAGATGGATTCAGAGGATAAAGGTTATTTTATTAGAGAATGAGATGTAGAATTTGCAGAATATGATTGTGGAATAAACTAAGAATCTATCTGAATAAATAACAAGTGTATTTTAGATATGATAACTATTCTGTAATGAACTAAGGGAACCGTGGGTTATCCGAAATCTAAATACTATGGACATTAAGCCAACTGGAACACTGTAATTGAAATCAGATAAAAGTTAAAAACAGGATTTGAAGGCATGTAAATCAAAAGTTGTCGATAAATGCTTCAGATGATTGAGTTATAATTAGCAATGTATTAATTTGAAATCTGGTATAATAATTAAGGGAAACAGAGAGGAAATTTTTGATGATGTAAACTGATATATGTATGGAAAAGCGTGTTATTGGACTATGTACTGTATTACCCAACCACCAAGTTGCTTCCTTAATACCTAAAGCTTTGTAAAAATGGAAAATTAATAAAACTTGTTCAGATTAAAGAATGACGGAATACAAAGGCAGTAGAGGTCAGCAGTAGCTGGTCCTTTTCTCTCAGGAAACCGGGGGTGGGGTGAGGCAGAAGGGATGGCTTCACACATGTGGCCACCCCTTGATACGTGTGAACCCTTGCTTTAGAGGAGTTGAGGATTTGATAATCTCAGCAAGAGGAGGTAAGAAATGACTGATGGAAAACTACTTTTTTGCCCTCTGCATGGGGTTTCTTTGAAAAGTATCCAGAAGCTTCAAATGGTTCAAATGCTGTGGCCCAGGTGGGCACATGTGTCATCTCTCCTACTGGAGCTGCGTTGGCTGCTTATTTGCTTCTGGGTCCAATATAGTGTACTGGTTGTCACCTTTAGAACCCTACATGACTTTGGACCAGTCTCTTCTTAACACTTCCAGTGTTGGAGCATTCACCACTTCTGGAGGCAGGTGGTTCCACTGGTTAATTGTTCTAACTGTCAGGAAGTTTCTCCTTAGTTCTAGGTTGCTTCTCTCCTTGATTAGTTTCCATCCATTGCTTCTTGTCCTGCCTTCAGGCGCCTTGGAGAATAGCTTGACTCCCTCTTCTTTGTGGCAGCCCCTGAGATATTGGAACACTGCTATAATAATAATAATAGTAAAGTTGGAAGGGACCTTGGAGGTCATCTAGTCCAACCCCCTGTTCAGGCAGGAAACCCTATACCATTTCGGACAAATGGCTGTCCAGTCTCTTCTTAAAAACTTCCAGTGTTGGAGCATTCACCGCTTCTGGAGGCAGGTTGTTCCACTGGTTAATTGTTCTAACTGTCAGGAAGATTCTCCTTAGTTCTAGGTTGCTTCTCTCTTTGGTTAGTTTCCATCCGTTGTTTCTTGTCCTGCCTTCAGGCGCCTTGGAGAATAGCTTGACTCCCTCTTCTTTGGGGCAGCCCCTGAGATACTGGAACACTGCTATCCTGTCCCCCCTCGTCCTTCTCTTCATTAAACTAGACATGCCCAATTCTAGCAACCGTTCCTTATATGTTTTAGCCTCCAGTCTCCTGATCATCTTTGTTGCTCTTCTCTGTACTCTTTCTAGAGTCTCAACATCTTGTTTACATCGTGGTGACCAAAACTGGATGCAGTATTTGACTCATGACGTTTTTTCACAGGTACCATCTTTGCAGCATCCCCATGATCATATGATCAACATTCAGATGCTTGGCAACTGGTTCATATTTACGATGGTTGCAGTGTCCTGGGATCATATGATCACCTTTTGTGAC